AGGAAACAAATTTTCCTTCTAGAGAAGGAAATCTGTGAAATCTGTGTCACACACCTAGCCTACGACAAACTGCAAGATAACAAATGAGCACTTTTTAAAAGCACTGCCTTTGCGGTCATTTGTTGCAGCAACAATGTAGTACTAAAGTAATAGAGTAATAGGTGAGACTGAATGAATGGTGTTTGCCAAGACTTCAGTGATGGGGCTCCCCATGGAGGCTCTGGGTAAAGGAGGTTATTGAGCCTGATCAAGTGAGTAGCGTCATCTTAACTGTGTCCTTACCCTGTGTTTTCCTCAATGGATTTTCCATGGCACTTAGGCTAGGAATGAGAGAAGAGGTTTTAGAAATGGAGAAGAAGAGGTTTGGGGAATGGAGGCAGATACACCTGACACTGAAATTCTGCCTCGAGCCTGGTTAGTCACAGCCCAAATCTTGCCCCAAGGGCTCTTGGATGGAAACTGGCCCTGAGAGCCCAGCTGTCCTGCCAGGGAAAATAAGCCATTCACAGACAGAGCACTAATAGAGGGAGGGGACCCAGGGAAAATCCGGCAGGGCCAGCGCCCTCTGCCGGCTGTGCTGCCGCCACTTCTGGTTTGATAACCGCTTGTGTAAAAGAAATTAACTGTGGAAATGACTCAGACTAATCCGTCATGGTGAGGTCCTTCTATTCTAGGTGCATGAAAACAAGAGGCTTTGGCAAGGCAAAAGAGGCTACATTATGTTGGAACAACATTAAGTGCATAAACAAGTAATTTGCTCAAAGGAGACTTATTTTTCTCCCTTAATTCAGTCAGGGAGGAGCCAATAGAGGGATTCATGGGGGGCTTTTTTTTTAACATGTCAGCATAACTTCCTGAGAAGCTTCTAGCAATATATATATATATATATATATATATATATATATATATAAAACAGTGGTGCACATCTAAAATACCAGCACTCAGGAGGCTGAGGAAGAAGGACTAACCTGAGCTACATATCAAGATCCTATCTTAAAACAACAACAAATGCAATGGGAAACTTTCTTTTTTTGGGGGGGGGTCCGGTCATGGGGCCTGAACTCCGGGCCTGGGCGCTGTCCCTCAGCTCTTCAGCTCAAGGCTAGCACGATACCACTTGAGCCACAGCGCCACTTCCAGCTTTTTACTTTTTGCTTATGTGGTGCTGAGGAATTGAACCCAGGGCCTTGAGCATGCAAGGCAAGCGCTCTACCACTGAGCCACCTTCCCAGTCCCAGGAAACTTTCTTATCACTCAGTTCCTAGCCTCCACATCCCACTCTGCACCTTATCTTCTTACCATAAAAGACCTCTAATTGTCTGCCTTGAAGGAAATTATCCTTCCCTCTCCTCCCTTCCGTCCTTTCCTTCTTTCCTTCCTATCTTCTTACCTCCTTCCTTCCTTCCTTTTCTTCCTTCCTCCTTCCCTGTCCTTCTCCTTCTCTTTTTCTCCTCTTCCCCCTTCTCTTCTCCCTCTCCTCCTCCTTTTTCCCACCCTAGCAATCATCCAACACAGTGCCATGGTTAAGATCAACAGCTTTAGAGCCAAACTAAGCTGGTTTTGAATCCTAGCTGAGTTATTGAATTACTCTGTGTTTGTTTCCTCTGCTGTAGAATGGGCTTAAATTCCTGCCTGCCAGGATGGCTGTGATTTTTTTTTTTTTTTTGGTCAGTTGTGAGGCCTGAACTATGGGCTTGGCCTCTGTCCCTCAGCTCTTCAACTCAAGATAGCATTCTACGACTTAAACCACAGCGCCACTTCCAGCTATTTCTGCTTATGCAGTGCTGAGGAATCGAACCCAGGGACTCCAGGCAAGCACTCTACCACTGAGCCACCTTCCCAGCCCCTGCTGTGAGTTTTGGAGGAGCTAACACTTGTAAGTTTCTTAACTCAGAGGCTGGCAGATAATATATGCTCCTAAAATGTCCTGTTATTATCACCCAACTCAAACTCTTCATATTTATAGACAAGGAAACAGATTCTAAGCAAAGTGATTGATGAATGGGCAGATGGCCAGGTTGTGGCAGAGCCAAGACTAGATCTAGGCATCCTGCCACAGCCCTCTTTCTACTGACAACACACAACACTTCCTCTGTCCCAGTCACCCAGTGAGGCTTGCGCGGGCACGCATGCGCGTGTCCTGTGAGTGTGACCTCTCTGCCCTCAGAAGCCATCTCCTATCCCATAGCAGCATCCTGTCTTTAGAGCTCTGGCACCCTGGCAGGGCTGACTTCCACAGAGCACTGAGCAACTCCCTCTTAGCATCAGTTTCTCTTCTGGAAGCCGAAGCTCCAGAAAGGGGTATTGGATTCTTCCAGAATCCCCTGCAGCTAGCCCGGCCTGCTGTCCACATTCCTGAGGGAATGCTGAGACCCGATTGTCTCCCACAATGTGCCCCCCCTCTGCCTTTCTCCAAGGCCTCACGCCCCCTTGCACACACACCTAGGAGGTTGCTCCCTCTCGTGCAAGATTCCATTGTCCACTGCCATTGTCCCCAGCAAGCTTTGGTTCCACCCTGAAACCAGGACAGGTGGACTTCCTGCTGTTCTAGAGAGGACAGGAGCTCTGTTGGATGTCCCACATACCTGTCCACTTCTAACCTTTGTCAGACTTTCCAAAACCCAGTAGACCTGGGGCTCTTGGCCAAGGAACCCATAGCTGACTAGCCTTTTTCCAGCCTGAGCCAATCAAAACCTCTGTTTTTGGTAAACAGTCAAGTGGGGTGAGGTGGGGAGAGGAAAATGAGGAAGGAGGGAGGGGATCTGGGCATTCTCAGTGAGGGCTCAGTGATGCTGCTCCTAGAATTCTGTACAAATGCCTCTGGATGAGAAGTCAAGCATCCTGGTCCTAATCCTAGCTCTGCCTCTGAATGAATCAGGTGTTCTTAATGGCTCACCTTGTCTCAGGTCTGTTTTCTCTTCTGATTTAGGAGTGGCTCTCCCATGAGGGTCTATAAGAAGCCTTCCAGTGCAGTTTCTTGCTAGTGACTATATGTGGTCTATAGTGACACTGAGAAATGGCAGCCCCCGTCTCTAGGAGAGAGCTAGGTGACGGTCACAATCAATGGACAGACTGTGAGCCATATAGTCCCCCTACCCCATTGGAGGCTCCTTGCAGCCTGAAGAGCTCTCCGTGCATTGTTTAGTCCCCTGTTAGGATGCCCATTTGAGTACACACCTCTGGGGTTTGATCAGTATGCTGTTCATGTGAAAGTCTTCTGGAGACCATGGGCCAGGACATGATGCCTAGGGACCTACATGCATGACTGCTTAGGGCCATAGTAATGTGATGCCCAGTGGCCCACACACAGTACTGCTCACAGCTACAGTGATGGATACAGAACCTCTATGGGAGGGGGCTTTGCCCTGATTGCCCAGCCTGGCTGGTACAGGTAAGGTACATACCTTACATACCTGCTGGTACAGGTATGGTATGCAGAAGATGACAACCAAGGTTAGGTGGTGGTTAGGCAAAAATGGGGAAATTATGGCAGAGTTTAGTGTTGAGATGAATGTCGCCACTTCTTGTTTCTCCCTTCTGGGACAGACGGACCTCTCTCCCCAGTGACAGGGCAAAGGGACAGGCTCCCGGGAAATGAATAGATGTTCAAAAGGCTTGGTCACCTTAAGGCCAGGGTTGTTTCTTCCCTCTTAGGCGTCTAGTCAATATTGTGGACCCAGGGAGGGGTTAGGCTTAGCTCAAGACTCTGCGCTTGCCGCTGCTTGAGCTTGAGGGTGAGAGGCAGATCCTGTGGCAGGTAAGAGCCTTTACAGAACATGAGCTGAAATCTAAATCCAGACCCCCTGACTCCTACTGCAGATCTGGTGCCCTCTAGAGGCCCTGGCACACGGGATGGACTGGTGGCTGCCTCTGCCGACCTGGCTCAATGTCAGTTCAAGTCAGGTCCCCATTAGGAGGTGGCTTCCTTGCACCCACCCCCACGGGACAGGAAAGTCTGGACACTGTAGGAGGCGCATGGCCACTGGGCAGGCTGAGGTCAGCCCTGAAGCCCCTCCCATCCTTAATCCTACTCCTAGATTGAAGATTCTGTTGTTTGTGGGCTCTTTTGTGGGCTCCACTGTGTCCCCCAAGCTTGTATGTAGGAGCTGCAACCCCCAGTACTTCAGACTGTGACCATATTTAGAGTTAGGGTCTTTAGGGCAGAACTGAAGTTAAATGAGGTCAGCAAGGTGAGCCCCAGTCTGACATGACTGGTGATCTTATAGGAAGAAGAAAATAGGACACAGATACACAAGAAAGATCTTGAAGACCCAGAGAGATAGGGGCCAACTCTACCTCAAGGAGAGGAGCATCTGAACGAGCAAACCTTGCAGACACTTTGACCCTGGGCTTCCAGCCTCCAGGATCATGAGGAAATACGATCACAAGTCCCTGGGGCACCAACACAGGGAACTGCCCGAGCTACTGAGTCCCCCCAGTACACTGACCTTCTGTACTGCCCCGCACTACATACACGCTCCACCAAGCCAGATCCATCCTTGGGGTGAGGGCTGGCCCAAGTCTATCACCAAGTCAACCCTTTCAGAGCCTTCGGGGAGGACGGGCTTCTGCTTCAAAGTAGACAAGGGAAGGTGGCCTGTCACCCTGAACCAGGACAGAAGAAACGCAGAGGCACAAGAGCAACTTAACATTTTGAGTTACAATCCCACCATGCATGACTCTGTTTCTGTCCCCTTGGGGTCTTCAGCTGACCACGCACAGGGCACCAGTTCAATAAAGTGGGCCCAAGGACCCATTAATCTCTCAGTTAATTAACATGACATTTCTTAGAACCCAGGTAGGGTGTCAAAGACCCTGGGAAAAAGCAAATCTAGGCCAGCTTTCAGAGGGCTAGTGGACCCCCAAATTCTCACCCCAGATCCACACTCCTCTAGCAAAAGGGAAGGGAAGAGTGGTGGAGGAATATCCGGTCCCTCCTTCTGTTTGCTCTGGGCCTGGTTACTGACGCCAGGCCTTATCTTTGGGTCCTCAGACTGGGCAGGGCAGGGCAGGTCAGAGCATAAGAGAGAATTGGTTCCCCTGCCCTGGACGAGAGGAGAACGGAGGGAAGGAGACACACTGCGACACAGCACGAGGAAGCTGCTGGCCCCGCCACCATGAAAACGTTCTTGTTGCTGCTGGTTTTGGTGGCACTGGAGCTGGGACAGGTCCAAGGAGCCCTTCACAGGTGAGGTCCCGAGCCCAGTACCCAGCCCACTGGGGCCCCCTCCACCTCCAGCTCAAAGCCCAGGTCCAGCACAGAAACGTTCCCACTGGGACTGAGCATCTCGGGGCAGAAATGAGACTGGCGAGTTGGGGAGAGATGGGGTAGGTGCACCTGGCCCCAACCCACACCTCGCAGATCCCCCTTCCTGGTGGGAAGAGGGGAGGGGAGCACAGGGAGGCAAATCTGCACCCCTCCTCACAGGCGTCTTTGTCTTTCAGGGTGTCCCTCAGGAGGCGCCAGTCCCTCCGGAAGAAGCTGCGGGCCAAGGGACAGCTCTCAGACTTCTGGAAGTCCCAGAACTTGGACATGATCCAGTTCACGGAATCCTGCACCATGGGCCAGAGTAGCAACGAGCCCCTGGTCAACTATTTGGATGTGAGGCCCCCTGAGACAGGAGTGCTGGGAGAGGAGGGAGCAGGGAGGAGGGAGGAAGGCCCAGCCTCAGGCTGGGCCAGTAGTGCGGATTGCTTTGCTTGGATGATCGTATGGACTGGTCCAACTGTGGGCATTGTGGGCCTCAGCTCTCTGTGGGAGTAGAGCACTGCAAGGAAGGACCCTGATTTTCTTTATTGGCAGCTTCTTACTTCCGTCCTTAGGCCAAGTGCTTGACTTCTCCCAGGCTCCGTGAAGAAGAGGAGCTCCTACCTTGCTTGTAGTGTTGTGGGAAGCAGGGGGGCAGGCATAGAATCAAATGGAGCAGCTGATTTCCTCCCCCTAGCCTTTCCTCTGGTTGCTTGGGGGGAGGGGTTGGTTTTGGGGCCAGTACTGGGGCTTGAACTCAGGGCCTCATCACTGTCTTGTAGCTTTTTCACTCAAGGCTGGTGCTCTACCACTTGAGCCACACCTCCACCTTCCAGCTTTCTGTTGCTTAATTGGAGATAAGACTTTACTGACCAGGTTGGCTTTGAACCTTGCTTCTTAGAGTTCAGCCTCCTGAGTAGCTAGGGTTACAGGCATGAGCCACTAGTGCCTGGCTGCTTTTTATCTTTTATTCCCCAGCCTGGCCCACTTCTAGACTGTGTGAGTTCTAGTGTACAGTCTTCCCGGCTCTGGTCCCAAGCATTCTGCCTTTGATTCCACCCCTGTCACGCCCCTGTGAGCCTCCCCAGCCTGCCTCACTCCCATGCCCTCCTCTTCCCCGCCTTCCCCTGCAGATGGAGTATTTTGGCACTATCTCCATTGGCTCCCCACCACAGAACTTCACTGTCATCTTTGATACCGGCTCCTCCAATCTCTGGGTCCCTTCTGTGTACTGCACCAGTCCAGCCTGCAGTAAGTGGGGGCAGGAACCCTGTGGAAATGCCCAATCCTGGGAGGCCAGGGCCTGGGACTCCAGGAGTAGAGGGCTTGGGTACCCCACATTGGCCATCCCTGCCACACCAGCCTTCCCTTCCCTCTTCAGGAACAGCTGACCACAGAAACAAGGTGAGACCAGGAAGAGAGTTAAAACACAGCTCCCATTCAAGATAACAAGTTTCACAGGGTCAGACTTTATTAGAGAGAAACTTAGCCATTGAAAAGAGAAATCTTTAACTTAGTGACTCATTTCCTCTGGAGCACACAAAGGAACATGGGGGAAAGTTCCATCTGGGTGACTACTTGTGGGCAAGTTGGTGGATTGGGTTCTGGTGAAGGCCTCACACCTGCTTCCATGAGGCTTGGTGGCCTGGCTCCCACAGAGGCGGGGCTGGCGGGGCATGTCCATTTAGTCAGAGGTAACTCAGGGGGCAGGTGCCTAGGAGAGACTGGCAAAAGAAGAGATAAACAAAGATGTCTCAGTCTATTCAGGACAAGTCCCCAGACAGAGGTTCTCTGAAACCCTGAAGCTAGATGGCCCCCAAGGCTACAAAGTTGGGATCATTTCCTGCCGTGGTAATGGTTTGTCCCTAAGTTTCTTTGAAGGCTAGAATGTGACCCACGCTGGTGGCTAGGCCTTTGCTGGCGCCTGATAAATGGCACTTATCTTGGTGTACCCTATGAGGTCATAGCCACAATCAGGTTTGCCCAGGGACAACCTGTGTCTAGAGGCCAATGAAGTAGTCACCAGGGAGAGCCATGGCGGGTCTTTCTAAGGCCCCAACTTCATACTGGGAGCCGGGCAGGGATAGAGGAGTGAGCTGTATCCTCGCTTTTCAGAGACACACCCCGTGTTCCGCCCGTCCCAGTCCAGCACGTACAGCCAGGTGGGGACCACATTCTCCATTCAGTATGGGACCGGGAGCTTGACTGGCATCATCGGAGCTGACCAAGTCTCTGTGAGTGAATGCCTTCATCTTTTCTCTTTTGTCCAGGAAACTGGGCGACGGTACAGTTGTTGTGAGGTCTTAGGGTACAGTTTCAGTTCTGTTTCAGGAGGAGGGGAGGAGGATGGGGAGGAGGGACAGCCCTCACTTTGGTCAGACTCCTAGGCTTCGAAGGGGCAGCTCAGGAATCTCCCTCGGGAAGATCCACTTTGTACCTAGTTTCCAGTACACAAAGCCTGATTGATGGCAGGGTGGGCTCATCTCACCGTCTCAAGTTCCAGTAAGCCCTTCCTCTCTCCTCCTATTCTACCACCGAAGCTGAGACTTCAGGCTGAAGTGCTAGGACAGAGACAACATTTTCCCACCTCCCCACCCCCAGTCCTACAGCTTGAACTATGGGCCTGGGTGCCGTCCCTGAGCTTATTAGTGCTCGACCACTTGAGCCACAGCACTACTTCCAGCTTTTTTCTGAGTAGTTTATTGGAGATAAGAGTCTCAGGGACTTTTCTGCCTGGGCTGGCTTTGAGCCACGATCCTCAGATCTCAGCCTCCTGAGTGATTAGGATTACAGGCATGAGATACTGGTGCCCAGCCTGAAAACAAGCAAATTTAGCAAACAATAATGCAAAAGTAGAAAGAAATAATAAAGAGGCTAGTTGGGATATCTCAACATAGGAAAGTAAGACTATATAGAAAATCAACAAAGCCAAAATTACCTCATGATTAAATCAGAAAAATAAAGTAAAACCAACAATATTAGAAATTCAGAAAGGGAAGTGGCTCCAGAGGTTGTAGAATACCAGCCTTGAGCAGAAAAAGCCAAGAGAGAGCAAAAAGTTCCGAATTCAAGCCCCAGTGCAGGCACACGTAAACACACACACACACACTCTCTCACTCTCTTTCTCTCTCTCTCTCTCTCTCTCACACACACACACACACACACACAAATCTTAAGAAAATAACAACAAATAGAAATAAAAAAGAAAACATTTCCAAATGTCCTAAAGACATTAAAAATAAAAGAATATCAAGAATAGTTTTATACTGATAATTTTTTTTAAAGTACTGGAATTTGAATTGAAGGGCTTATTTGTTCGACTTGCTTGCTTGGCTGACACTCAACCACTTGATCCATGTCTCCAGCCTTGCTTTCTGCTGCTTATTTTGGAGCTGGAGTCTCATGGACTTTTTTCCCCTGGGCTTGTCTCAAACCATGAGCCTCTGGATCTAACTACTCTAGAGGCAAAGATTGGAAAGAGTGAGGCTCAAGGCCAGTCTACACAAAAGTCACTGAGATATTATCTTACCAAACAACCCAGGAGTGTGTTTCATGTCTGAATCTCATTTATGTGGGAGGCCTAGGTGACCATTTGAGACCAGCCTCAGGCAAAAATAAGACATCTGAAAAAGTGAAAAGAATGGTAATTGTGGCTCAAATGGTAGAGTGCTTGCCCAGTAAGAGCTGAATTCAAACTCCCAATGTCAAGAGAAAGAGAGGGGGAAGAGGGAGGGAGGGAGGAAGGAAGGAAGGAAGGAAGGAAGGAAGGAAGGAAGGAAGGAAGGAAGGAA